CACTCGACACATCAACATATCGTATAATCAAAATCATCTGTTTTTTATGACTTGCATCAGAAGTGCAATCAAGAATGACTGAAAAGTACTTTGCCTATTTGAGTTTTGCAATAATTGCACTGCTTACATTGAATGCCAACATTTCAATCAACTCATTCTGAATTTTATGACCAACGATAATGATGATGAGTTTTTTTTTAATCAAACCAAAATGGTATTGCATGACAGGTCAAACATCAATCATTTGTAGAATGCCTAAAAAGTTACCATTAGACTATTCATAAAGTTTTTCATTTTTTCCACGAAAAGCCAAACTATATTCTGCCAAACATTTCACAATAATAATGTGTTTCCAATGAGCGGTGTCTTTCTTGATCAACTCTTGCAAGTCTTTGTCAATAGTTTGATTTTTATCCGATCTCATTTTCAACTCAGACCATGCTTTTAAATTAATCCAATATTCAGAAACTATTTTCATGTAACGATAATGCACAATTAAGATGTTTCCAATAATTAGGTCCTGCACTTGCTAATTTGACTTGTCGATCAAGGAATTTTGAATAATTTGCAACAAAACTAAAAAACCGTCCAAATCTTTGGAGTAAACCAACCATTTTCTATCATAACATTCACCATTTCGTAGCTTACGATTATAAGGGTGCAAGAAAATGCCTATTTTGTTTATCTTTTGGAAAAAAAACGATGTTAGTTTCTCTAACAAACCCTTTTTCTTTAAGAAAATCTTTCAGTTTTGAACTTAAACGATCCCAAGTACTTGGGTTAAAAAATATTCAAAGCAACATTAGGCTCATGAAAGTCATTAGAGTTAGGATTACCAACATGAGGCTCGTCAACAAGATTTTCCACATAGTCATTAGAATTGCGATCAACAACAAAATTCTTCGTCAACAAGATTTTTCACATTTATCATTTGAACAATTTCTTTTTGTTTTTTTCTTTCTTTTTTAATGGGTTTTTCTTCCCTCATAAAATATTATTCAACTATTTATGTAAAGATTGAGCAATTTCTTGTTGTTTTTTCTTTCTTTTTCTATTCTGAGCGCTAGAATGTTGTGATCTAGGAAACATATTTAACCAAATTATTCAAACAACCAAACAAATCACTAAATATGCAACTATGCAAATACCAAATATGCAAATAATACAAGATTCAAGATTCAAGAAAATCAGTAAATCACAACATATGCAAATAATCAAAACTAAATATGCAAATAACCTAAACCAAGATTCAAGATTCAATAACCACTTAACCAATAACCAGATTTCCAAATATCCAAATATCCAAATGATCAGATTGGAAATCACCAAAATGCAAATAACCAGATTAGATAAGTAAATAGAACTAGATAAGAACTAGAAGGAAAACACCCGGACTGAAGCAACATCACTCAAATCAGACGAAAATCGATGGGCGATGGTCACGGTTCTGGTCAACAGGTCGAAACATGGAGTACCTCATGGTTGTTAGGTGGGGCCATGTTGAAGCGTGAAGCGTTGCTTACTCGTTTGAGACAAGGAAACCGACTACGGTAATTGGTGTTGTCGTTTTTGAACGATGCGAGGGTGTGACAGGGAACCGTTAGGTGAAGCCGTGAAACGTCATTTGATTATTCGAGGTCGAGGTAGTGGCTTAAAGCACCTTGGGATGTAATGCCCTGGGCAAAGGCCCATGTCGCCAATAGCTGGACCGACCCTGCTTATAATTACTCATACAAAATAACATTCTTAGTCCTTGTCTTATTCATCCAATAAGATAAATGATCCGATAAGCATTTACCGCATATCCGTTTCATAAACGACCCATAAAATTTTAAAACTAAAATACACTACCCACTTTTTCTAAATTTAAATTTTCAAAAGAGAATTAAAATTGGATGTAAACAAATTATGAAAAACAAGTATTTTATTAACTTGTCACCAATATTATTATTAGGGTCGTTCCTTAATATGTTAAATGTGAGATTTTGAACAGGTTTTTCAAAATTTTGGGGCCCAAATTTACATGTGTTTTGGGTCTTTTATCGACCTGTGTAAAACTATAGCCGAAATTATTTAGTTTCAAACCATTAATTGTTTGATTTTAGGTTCAAATCATTAATGGTTTAAGTTTAGTTTCAGATTGTTAATCGTTTTAGGTTTAGCCCATTTTTGTTCTTAACATATATTCTTTGTTGTCTCATTTATACAATGTAATCAAAAGTTTTGAATGTAACAGAGTCTTCAAAAAGATTGGAACGTCCCTAATTATTATTCTTCACACTCATTGTTTACTCAATTTTGGAATTTTATTATGCAATTTTATATTGAGTTTCACATTGAAATTGTATCGTAAACAAGAAGCAAATGAGGAAAAAGGCGACATAAGATCTCACAAATTTCTAAGTTTTTAAAGATACTGGATTGATAAACAGTAGCAGATCTAGAATTTTTTTTTATACTGAGTGCACCTTTAAGATAGATTAATGGTCCTGGAAAAATGGTATGATCTTGGAAAAAAGTAAACACGATCTGACCTAGGAAAAAGTTAATTGTGCCCATTTAAGGGATAAAATACAGTTTTTTTTTTCTCAAATGGAATCAACCTTGATCTTTAAAATAAATATACGATGTCTTGAAAATGAAATAAAAAGGAACAATTTTTAAGACGAATTGACACGGGGAAGGAAAACAAATCACGAAAACAAAATAATAAAATAAAAATGCGAGAAAAAAAATTAACAAGGAGTTCCCCATGGCATAGAGGTAATAAAACTTAACTAAGGTGTTGTTTATCAAACGCTTACCCGAGTAAGCACTTACCAAGTCACTTTACTTTACCGGATGAATATGGCAAGGACTAAGAATCTTAGCCGATAAAAGCGAAGGCAAGAATCGAGAGTCTTACCCGGTAAGTGCGGATGACGACTCTTACCATGGTTAGCGCTTACCGGGATAAATTGTTTCATACGATGCGTTTTAGTGAATAAAATAGGTAAGTAAGCGATAGTGTTGAATTTTATCGATAAGTGCTTACCGGTAATTAATGCTTTTTTAACCATTGGTTTTTTATTCATATAAAATTTTATATGCAAATTCATATGTGAAGTTTTACATACATTTTTTTTAAATGATATCTATTAAGTCGTTGTGATTACATGTTTCTGTTTTAGTTGTCGTGTCATGACATCTTTGTTACAAAAGTTTGTTTCGCAAGTTATGTTATATATGAATTATTTAAAAGAATGTCAAGAACAAAAGTTGCAACGTATTTCAAACATCCACAAAAGAGTTTTATGAACGTTCCATGTTATGCGTTATACTTTCAAAATCGAAACTTCTTGAGCAAGTTTCGCCAATTCAAATGATTTTTTCTAAGTTGTCTAAAGATAAGGACGTGCGCGTCTTTATATTCTGATGTATGTTGGTCTTTTTGCTTGAATTTTCTATTCTACCATAAAGAATCGTATTGTTGACAATCGTACTGTGTTTCACAAAGTACTCGAGGACAGTGTGGTTTAGACACTGCTGGTCATACCGCTCAAAATATTATGTTTGATTAAGGTTCGATATTAAAAAAAAAATCAGAAGTTTTCCTCAACTTTATCTGTGTCAACAAACAATTAGAAGTAATCAGAATGTAATTTATTTATTTATTTAAAGAAGGAATATATTATTTTAAAATTAAAAATAGAAAATTTCTCATGAAACATAATAAACCAATCAAATAACATGGGCTGAAGCCCAATGAAGTGGGCTAAAAATGAAAGTATTGATTAGCTTTTCTGGGTTTAATTTTAAATTTAAAAAAAAAAAATTCTAAAGATACAATTAATTTTGACATCATGGAAAATGTGTGTAATATTATTATTATATTTATTATTTTCTTGGACCTGTGTGAAATGACAATTCTCACGTGAGGGACTAAGTGGCCGTTTACCCAAATACTTATCCGGTAAGCATTTATCGGTAGGAGTCAACACTATAATCTATTTTACCAGATAAGATTGTAGTATATTAAAATGGTACCGTATGCAACTATTTACCAGGTAAACGCTTACCCGGGTAAGAGTTCTCACCATCACTTACTGGATAAGACTCTCTATCCCTATCATCGCTCTACCGGGTAAGGTTTTCAGCCCTTGCCATGTGCATCAGGTGAGGAAAGTTACTAGATCCACACTTACCGGGTAAGTATTTTGTAAACGGCCCCTAAGTTGTCATTTTCCGGAAGTTAGAAGTTTAAGGGTTGAATTGTCGTTTTAAAAAACATGTGGACTAATCAGATTGGTATCTGAAATATGTCGTAAATATGTGAGAGAGATAGGAGCCGATTTTCGTAGCTTCAGTAAGATGAGTATATGATGATGACGATGAAGGAATTATCACTTCATTGTACTCTCTTTTGAAATCAGAAGCAAGATCTTATCGATGACAAATGCATATTTTTTGAAGTAGAAAAAAAAGAACCAAAGTAATATCGAGTATCGAGAGATTTTCATCAATTTAAGGTACGATTTTGATGTTCAATTAGTAGTATATAATGTTGCTTTAATGTTAGGCATAAATAATAGGGTCAAGGATGAGGCAACACAGCTATCAATTGGATTTTAAACGATCCATATCTGATTAATTAATCATATAGTATAATTGTTTGGTAATTGTGTACAATGAAATTAGGGCTCTTAATGGTTAAGGGAGATTCAGGATACAAAATCATTCAGATGGTTTTAGAACCATTAAAAGACAGACTTTTTTTTTGTCAAACAAGATTCACCTCTTAACGATTCAGAGATTGCCTCTTAATAGAACTATTAAGAGAAAACAAACAATCCCTGAGTTTATAAACCAACATCATATTTTGACAAATACTTCGAGCTGTTCTAAATTTCAATTCATAAGGTATATCGTGAATGTCAAGTGCAACATCGTTGTTACTCAAAAGCTTTTGTTCCTACCCAACTGCAATACATACATAAAACTAATTAAAAGGTTATATTTATACCGGTTTCTAAAATAACTTATTATATATGTGTAACAGTACTTATCGTTACAACAAAACAAAACCCTAATTCCCAATTCATACTCTAGTCACCGTTCCCAAAACTACGAGAGTCAGATAAAGCGATCATAATTATTTTTTCAATAGTTTCAAACGTTGAATCGTCTCGACGAAAGACCTGTCAAAACAAAAAGTTCCATATAACAAGTTAGAAACAAAATTTTATAAACTTGATAACGTAACAAAAACAGAACAAATATTATAAGGAAATGACGAAATTACCCCCACGGAACGTCTCCGGCAAGCAACCAATCTCCATCTTTGTCTTGGTAAGTGAGTTTCACATCTTCGAAACCTACGTTTCCCATCGATGAGTAATTTTTACTTTTACGTTTTTATTCAGTATGGTTATCACTTTTCTTTATAAGAAAAAAGTTAAACGTCTTCCATTCTTAATAAAATAAACGGACAAATTCTGAATAAATTGCTATATGCATTACATGATATATCAAATCGTTATTTGTTTAATAATACTTAGGGACCGTTTACCAAACGCTTACCCGGGTAAGCGCTTACCAAGGAAAATTACCTCACCGGATGAATATCGCAAGGACCAAGAATTTTATCCGGTAAGAACGAGACAAAGAACATAAGTCTTACCCGGTAAGTAAGGGTGACGACTCTTACCACGGTAAGCGTTTACTAGATAAATTGTTGCATATGATGTCGTTTTAATAGACCAAAATGTTACCCGATAAGTAAATAATAGAAAACATGAGATGAACTTACATTTTCCAAACATGTTGGCTAAGGTGTGGACTAGGGTTTGGTAGGAGTGGTGGCCATTAAGGTCAACCTTTCTTGCAATTCCTATGCCTTCCATATGCACCTTAACATACATTGACTTTGACCCTCCGCCATCTCCGCCATCGCCTCCGCCGATTTTCGGGTGGCGAAACTTCTTCCTACAAGATTTCACCGGCGGCCACCCGATCACACCACCATCATTTCTAATAACAAATATAAGAAAACATAATTAAGATTTGTTAGCTTTCATCGATTAATTCAACCGACAGAACACAAATATGGAATTCGAATTCAAGAAACTGTACGATATCTTGGATGGATTTCCATCCACTTTGAAAATTACGTATCTTTAATTTACATGATGAATTAATTACCTGTGATGAACAAATATAGAATTCGACTCAACTTCATTTTCACCATCGCCATCGTCGTCAGCATCAGCATGAGCATGGTGTTGATTCACCTGGTTTTTGTTGCAGAAATTGTTCCAAACAAGAAGAGGCAAAGTTTGAGGAACATGGAAATCACCATCATCATCATCATCATGATCATGTTTCCTCTTTTTCAAGTGGTGAATTGGGATGTTAGATTCATGGCTGTAATTGGTGTTGAAGTTGAGATCAAACTGTGAAGAACAAGAGGATGAAGATGAAGATGAAGATGAAGATGAAGAGAGAGCAAGACCCAGATGAAGCTCCATGTTTTGCAAGATTTCAAACGAATACACTTTCAGACAATATGACAGCAGATTATGGAGGATTTATTTGGGTATGTTATATGATGGGCTCTAGCCTGTAGGTATATATATATATACATATATATATACATATATATATACAGACCAGTGTGTATGTATAGGTAGAGAGAGAGAGAGGGGGGGAGGCAAGGGATTTGATTGTGTCTGGGGAGTCTGAATCTCTCACACACACCAAAGGTGAAAAATGTGAGAGAGGGTTTGGAGAGGGGGAACCATTTGGAGAAAATAATGAATTCATGTTTTTACCGTCTGACGTCATCTAAAAAACATTTATTGTAATTGGGAAATTGTACTAAAATTAACCTTCCATATTTAATCATTATGTTTCTTCAAATAAATAAAAATAAAATCATTAAATTATTTAAAAACCAAATAAATTAAGCAAACTTTTATATTTTAAATCACAAATTCTTAAACATTTTAAACGAATAAGTTTTTTTATATATATAAAATAAATAAATATATTGATTTTTTATATACACTAAAAGGGTACTCGCGCAATACAGCGAGATACATCTCGAGTTTAATATATTATTTTATTATTTGTCTCTATTGATATTATAATACGATTTTATGTGTTTTAATAAAAAACAATAATTATTTTATTTTTGAATAAAATATAAATTTAAAGATATCATAAAAATTTAAAATATATATATATATATATATATATATATATAT